AGGTAATTCAGTGCCTTCGTTGTGGGTTGAGGCGCCGCGGACTGTACGAGAGATGGTAGACGGAGCGCGGTGAAACTGATCGGCGATCGACTCAAGCGTACGGCCGTCCTCGTACGCTTGTACAATCCGACCACGCTCGTATGGGGTAAGATTAGGGCCTCGTGCGCGAGATCCGCTTGGTTGCGAACGTTCAATGGTTGGCGCCATGTTGTTATGTTAATGCAGAAAAGAAGGGTGAGATTTGACGACGTGGAGCGCGTTGAGTGGTTTGCGAAACTTCTGTCCGTGCACTGTACCTTTTTTTCGCTCCGACTGCAAGGCCGTCTAGAACTTCTCTTGCAGAAAGCTTCGCTGATTGTCTTGTTCTTTGCCTATATAGGCATCATGATTCCGCGGTCAGCCAACCTATCCTTGCACCAGCCTGCGTCGCTATCTTGTTCCACGAAAAAGTCCCATCCTTGAAGTCTGGAACTCGAAGATCCTCGTCTTTGCGATTGACTCCAGTCCTTGAATGCTGCTGACAAGGCTAGACCTCGACCTTCTCCACGCAGCAGGGTTTGTGCTGTTTAGCGATATAATCAATGCCCTTTCGAAAGCGACGACCGCTCAGAGTCACTATTCTTCTGACTCTCTTCAAATATCCCCTCAAGAATTTGTTCTTGGTCGTGGGGCTTCTACATAGTTACGATGCTGTTTGACAGAACTTTGTGTTTGTGGGGAGATAAGATGTTTTGCCGCCTGCTCGTCCTTATCTTCACACCTTATCTGCGACATTCTACGAAGCCTCTTATCTCTTGGCGGTCCGGCGTGTCCGAATCGGTTGAACACTGGTCTTGTACTGCCAGAGGATCTTCAGTCTGCAACAGGCAATACTCACAGTCGAGATTTTGCAGATAACAAAGGACAAGTAAAGCAGACGATAAGCAACTCGATCCAGATTGTAAACGACGCACAACGATAATCCGACCAGATTCGCAGAATGACGGAATGATTTGGCAACGGACACAAGTGTCTGACTTCACCTCCCTGCATTGATCATTTGGCATGCTGTGCTGGGAACTTGCGCTCCACTTCCTGGCGCATAGGCATAGCATTTTGGCACTCGCTGAGTCAATCATGTCAGGCAGTAAAAGGTGTTTGACTGAATCACAATTATCAGTCGTTGGCAGAATAAAGAAACTCTCATTTTTCCCAGGACCGAAACCCCAAACCGCTCTGCTATATTTTGCAGACGTGGAACACAATGCCAGGACAACTACTCTCTCAGCTCGTCCAATCCCAGAGCACTGCCGTTACAGCAATTCCTTGAACAGCTGTCAGCCATGCACCAATGGCAACACCGGTCGCATTATCCTTCATATATCGAGCATAGATGACCGCGACTACGCCACTCAAAAGAAGGGACATTATGTTGCATACAGCGAACAATAACGGATTCCGCTCTTCTGTAATTTCGATTCCCCAGCCATAACCATCCTCTGCCCCATGGAAAGACAGCGAGACATCGTTGAGTTGTGGGAACCGTTTGATGAATGCTTGTGATGTATTTGGTGAGTGCGCATGCTTCAATTAATGGCGGAATGTGCCAGGATCAATAGGTTGCTTATCCATTGGAATGGGGTCGAAGCTGTAGTGATACTGCGTTGCCTCTTCTTCACTGCGCATACGCCGTTCCAAGATACTGACAGTTGGTAAGCTTCCCGTAGTTCTTCGCTTGTTGATCACAAACTTCACTCAAAAACATCATCCGCGATTAAGACTCGATACATGGGGCCAAGTGGACTGCATAAGGACTTTGCAGCGGACACGCACCATAACTGAGCCACCTCCATTCATCACTCGGTAAGCAAACCGACCAAGCCATCGAGCAGACCGCTTGTTCTCGCGGTACTGGGCTCTGATAGCATCGAAAAGCATTTTGTCCGTACAATTTCCAGAGGTGTCAATCTCGACAAGTGAAGAGATGCCTGTGGTGGAAGGTATACACAACTCCAACCACTTCGGTCCTGTGCCGTGCTGGTGCACTACAAACGCTTTCTGTCCACCCGTGGCTGTAGGGCCCTGTCCATCTTTTGGGATGTTCGCAGGGCCTCCAATTGAGCCGCTCGGTGATGGCCCACCAGGAGCACCTTTCAGGTAAACTGCTGCAGGGGTCTGCGGCGATGGAATTGGTGCATTGGCAGGCGCCTGATTGAGAGCCGGGCCACTAATTATGCGACCACCCAGCTCGGCTGCAAGAGATCGCAAGGATCCTGGGTTTCGCTCGAGATAGTCACCGTACAATTTATCGCCACAGCTCTGATCGTGGTCAACCCTCCGCGGTATCAAGTTTCGGATTTCCACTTACACATTTCCATTCGATCCGGCTATAGCCCTCCTGGAGTCGAGGTCGAAAAAGTTTACCAACGACTGGTTTCAAGAATCGGTATGACTCAACAACAGGATTAAATGACAAGGTAATAGTGTCTGTGACACCGACCATAATAGCACTCATCCGAGAAGGGACTGGACGTGTACTCATCTGAGAAGGGTCTGGAGGCGAGTACGGCGGAGGCATATCAGCTTCCAAGAATTCGCCCACTCCTATCTGCACATTGATTTGAGGCTTCAGGTATTGAATAAACACTTCGTTGTCCTGTCCGCCGATGGTCGAGTGATTGCTGAGTTTGAATTGTTCGTTACGGAGTGCAAACTACTCCTTGCGTAAGCGGTCAATTTCTGCTTGCATTAGCGCAAGTCTGCTTTCGCCTGAGCTTTGTCCAGGTCGTGCTCATGTTTTAGCTCCATGAGCTGTCTGTCATGGTCTTCTTTCAGTTGGTCGATCATACGAAGAAGGACCTGTCCCGCAGATGTTTCTCCCAGCGATTTGTGTTCGTCAACCATTTGCTTTTGGAGGGCCAAAGGGACGTTCACTATGTCGTTAGTGCTTCGGCCGAAGGCAATGTGCTTAACGATAGTCAATGCTGACTGCCTATCTCCATATGATCTGCTCACGATGCTGCCCTGCTCGATCGAAGCTTTCCACCATTCGTGGCAAAACTCTTTCTCCCTGTGCACGCCTTCAGCTGGGTCTTGCAGTTGATCCCACTTGCTCGTGACAAGCACTATGTTGTGGGAGGCATCGGGTTCAACGAGTTTGGCAAACACCTCAAGGCTCTTCCGTGACGAACCACCCATTCTAACTGAAGTAATCGGATGCAGATAGATGATGCCAGAAAGCAATCGCTTTGATTTGTAAGACTCCGTCAGCCAAGTAGAGACCTCACACAGCACATCAACGTCATTACGGTTCGTATCGTCAAAGCCTGGCGTATCAATGAGGGTGATCACACGTTCGTCTTTCGATACAGAGTAGGCTTCCACGTTCTGAGTTTCTGTTCGGTGTCAGTAACGTTTCTGCGTTCTGATAATACAAGCGGACCTGAGTTTAAGCCATGTCCAATCTTCACAGTATCCGAGCCCGTAATTCTTTTGATGAAGCTGGACTTTCCAGACCCAGTCTCACCCATCAAGGCGATGATGATGTCGTCTTTGTCCGATCGCTTTTCTCCATGTTTCTGTAGCTCCCTACTAAGTGTGTCTACAGAGCTAGTAGCCACACCGACCGCACCGACGCTAAAGCCTACAGGCTCCATAGCGAAACTAATATCAAATGAACGCTGGGGGTTCGAGAGAAATGAACGTTGGGGGTTCGAGAGAAACTTGATGTTTCAGGGAAGACTTCTAAAATAATTTCGAGAGTCAGGGGCATATGCCTCGGCTCTCCACCTCAGCGCGTAGGTTCATGCAGGAGCAAGCCTGCTCTTCAGCCTTTATGCCTATGCCGGAGCTGAGACTTCGATGTCGGATCAGCCGCTCTTGTGCCTTTGACCAACAGCAACGCGCCAATCTGCGGCAAGCTGCCGCTCGACAGGACATCAAGCTGCTTACGGTATAACTCCCGCTGCACGTGATATCTCAGCTATCTCAGAAACAACTCTGCTATACCATAAACGGTTGATGCTGTGTTTGACAATCAGTGTCCTTACCAGAAGGGTTTATGTTCTAACCACTCAATATCGCTTGCTGTCATGATTTGCTTGTTTCTGCTTGCTATGTTGACGCCCTCGCCATCTGATCGCATCGTTCTTTGACGCTGCTCTATATTGGCGTTACATAGTTGCGCGAATTACCTGTGCCACCTTGAAATATCGACTGAGCATCGAGATCTTGACGTGCGCTTCTCTTCTTCCATCCATGACCCTTCAATGACCTCCTTTCCACAACACAGATCAAATCCTCCTACTATCAGCCGTGATATAGTACGACAGCGCATGCTGAGTAAACAACGCGCTCACTAGCGAGTGTGCTCTTTGCAGTAGACCTACGATCAATGAGACCAGATACAAAAGACACGGACGCCCAAAATCGATGCCTGTTTGCCGAGATTGAGGCTGCATCTCGCCGATAAAGATCAACACGCGGCACTGACACCGAGATAGAGGCATAAATTCTCCTCGAATTGATCGCGAGCCTGTGTCGTCTTTCTCTACTTAAAATTGTTCTACTACTGGCTTGATAGCAAAGAGCTTGTTGAACTTGTTTGTCGGGTCGTATCTTCCTTTGATCCTTTGTAATCTCTCGTAATTGACACCGAAGACGTCTTTGCTACGCTCATCGGTCTGATCGTAGTTGCCGTACATCAGCACCGCACCCTTGTTGCCCCTCAGACTTACGCCACCCTCGATGCCGTCGCTTGTCTCAAGGTGCTTGCGATTCAACTCAGTTTTGAAGTGCTCGCTCAATTCACGAGCCCAGTCTCGACACAACTTGTCGTTTTCAGGCTTGGTCCATACGGGCATTATGAGAGTGTTGAGATGCTTGCCTCGATTCGCGAAACATCTAGCGTCAGATGCAATGATTTTGCTCGGATCGGTCCACTCCCATGCGAGAATTGTCTTTGCAGCATCTGGGCATGAGTCCATGAATTCTTTGTACCGGCTCAAGGCGTCGAGGGCGAAAGCAGTTCTCAATGGCGGCATGAAGACGGGACTCTTGATGTTGCATCTAAAGCCGTGAGGTGCGGGTATCAGAATATTGACGTCCGGATATGGCCCCATCTTCATGGTATTCATAATGGGACCGATATCGAGATACTCGGAGATTATTTGCTCAGCTTCTGCTTGATTGTCGGCGAGCACCTGCATGACAACCAACATGAGTACTGCTCCTCCAGCCTCTGCTGGTCGAGCAAAACCGATGACTGAGTTTGTCCGCCCTTGATTTTTGTCTGCATACCAGAGGGTGTCTTCTCTTTGAACTCGTAGAGGTTATTCGTGGCGGTCACCACACAGTCGATGACTTCTGGTATCGCTGGATAAATCATTGTGCCCATGTACAAGTCGGATTGAGGATGGAGTTCCAGGACAAATTCAATGATCACACCAAAATTTTGGCCAGCTCCACGCAATGCCCAGAACAGGTCAGGGTCTTCGTCATGTATACCACACTTGACAATATCGCCGCTAGGAAGCACGATGGTCGCACCAACCCAGTTGTCGATTGTGAGGCCATGCTTGCCAGACAGAACACCGTAACCTCCACCAAGGGTAAGACCGCCCACACCAGTATGAGAAACAGTTCCGCCGACTGTAGCAAGACCGTATTTCCATGCTTAGGATATGGTCCTAGTTGTTCTGCCCTCTAGCAAAGAAGATATCCTTAGAATAGCTTAGTATTATTAGAATAAGACGATAATCTGTAGCTTCGGCACTACTTACTTCTAGATTAACTTAATTCTGATATAAAATGATAGAACAAGCTAATTTATAGATATATATAGCTTTTATAGGAATAACTAATCAGTAATCTACTAGAGCAACCCTGTTCTGACCTGTACCCCTATCCACAACAACCAACTTGCAGACAATTTGTTGAGCTCTGACATCCTAACAAGCACGAGACAGCGCTCGCCAATGTGGGACTACTAAGGTCTTCCCTAGTAGAAGGATTAGGGATAACTTCAGGTTGCAGCGTGGCGGAATGGATGCCGTAAGCGTGTAGACACTCATTGATGGTATTTGCAACGGCCATGAAGTCAGTCGAGTGGTCTATGACAATGTGAGCAGACGCAATAGACTTTTGCTGATTGAGACGCCAGATGTGCAATTCGTGCACAGCCTGGACTCCAGAAATCTGTTTATAACAAGTTCAATTTGACATGCATTTGGCAAATCGGCCAAGAGACACACGCACCTTCTCCATATCGTGCGTAACGTCAACTGGGCTGACCCCGGAGGGCACACTTTGTAGCAGAATCAAGCCACTCTTTTTGACTGGTAGCTTGGGTCAGCGCGATTCGTATAGATGACTGCCTATGGTGAAACTGACCAAATGGCACAGCCGAACCGAATATCATGAACGAAATAGCCATACTGACTGCCGGGTCGACATAGAAACGCCCTGGAGATGTAGTTTTCCAGATGATGGCTCCTGCGAGAATGACGCCCAGATTGTTGGCGGCATCTCCAGCAACGTGAATCAAGATACCCATAAGCCCCAAATCGTGTTCCTTGCTCTTGTTATTGTTTGGTGAAACGACATGGCGGTGATCTTCATGCGGGCGATTCATCTGATCATGGAGCATGATGTTAGCGCCCACTCTGGCATATTCAGAGCCTGGGTATGCGGAGCTTGCCTCGGCCGTTCGGGATTGTGGATCGCTTGTGTCTACAAGAGGGCTAGTTTCTGTGGGTTGCTCGTCGCCATGATCGTGCTCTATGGACTCATTAGCCTCGGTGCACTGATAGTGTATTGTGTGCTACAAACCATGGAGGATGGTAACGCTAAGCACGTTTAGTGCAAAGCCAATGCACCCGATAATGAGCACAAGTCGTGGGTTACTGATTTCTGAATTGCTACCAGTTAGATACAGATACATATGAAGTGCAACGGATGATGTACCTTGAATAGCGATGAAACGCTCGATAGCCTGTAGAAAAATGCTGACTCCGAGTGCTAGCAGGAAGACACCATTGAAGAAGCCACCTAACAGATTGGCTCGCTGCCAACCAAAAGACAAAGAAGGCGGCGCCTTGTCACGTTCCGAAGCCTGCAGATGAATCATTTAGCACCTGTGCAAGTGTCGGGTTGTGCAATCGGATAATGGCAAAACAGCTCTCACCTTGAATGCGACCAGCTGGACCACGAATCCAACTAGGTCATTGAGCTACAAGGTTGTCAGCTAAGTCATTTTGAGGCAGTGCATACAGATCCTGAGTGTGATATACATAGTGGAAGGCATCAGCAACTAGCGCGAGCGAGCGTGTGTAGAAACCGACTTGAAGAAAACTCAGTTCAATCCTAAGCCGTAGGCATTAAAAAGCTCCAGGCAACAATGGCGCTTACTAGCAATTTCGGCCAAGAAGAAGGAGAAAGAGATGGCAATTATGAGCGATAGCTTCTGAGCTTTAGTAAGGGATCGTGCCATGATCTGAGACGAATCTCAATAATCGTCTGCGATGATAGTAAATAAACTTGATGGGGAATCCGAATCAGGTTGTCGAGCAAGACAACATCGATGCTTAGTAATAAATGCCATGGTAATACACAGATCTAACACAGCGCGGCATCACCCCAGCCTCGTACGATCTGCCTTGTGCTAAGAGGCACAAATTGTGCAGGCTAAAAAGAATCTCCTCCATGTGTTCGTTTCTGCCTAGGTACGTCATGGAAGGCACAGCTGGCACGAGCTCTCGTTGCAGAGCATGTCACTGTGGTCTTCTGGTTTGAACGCTTCAGTGATGAGAAAAACAAGGATCCAAGACCGCTATTCCCGATTCGGCGCTTGGAGAATTCGAGAGCGCCTATATCTCGAGCTTCACCGTTCACGCCGCTTCTGATACGCAGTTGTTAATCCATCACGCCTTGGCCACGCAACCACAATGACGACTTGGTACCATGAGTTTGACCAAGGAGGGGAACCCAAGACGTGTCCCTTGGACTTTGAGTTACAATAGCAGCGATACGAATACCGCCATTCTTTGTCGCTCCCTTGCCCTCCGCCACCATCACGACACTCGACCAAGACAAGAGGAAGATACATGCATCGTTCTCACAAGCGCGCGACTGCCGAGAGAACGAATCTGTGAGATTGGGCGCTTTTAGAATCGCCGCCATTCTGATAGGGTCGCGAGGTCATTATGCAATTTTCAAAGCGGTGCATGCGCCGCTGACTCCCCGCAGACATCTCCTCGTTTGTGTCTCCGGTGCGGTTCTATGCTGCGGAGTTATCTGATAATCGTGCAAGCCTATTTCGACCTTGGTGACACGTCCCCGAATCCTGATGGGCTGTAGCTCAGGTGGGGCGGGCCGATCAAGGACGTGCTAGCCTTCCCTGAAATAGGTACCGAGGCGATGTGTTCGTTTACGTAAGCTTGGCGAGTCAAGTCGCACTCCCACCCCGATTGCGCCATACTGGTAGCAGCATCACTTCTACAACACATCTACTCGTACCCTCCATAGTCACCCCAAGGAACTGCCAAAATCTCTATGTGAACACACTTACTATCATGACCTCCGACTCTGGTTGTAACGACCGCTTGGACAAATCATGCACGCTCACTTGCTGCGAGGGCCAAGACTGCTGTGACCAGACTTGCCTTGAGCGTGTCGCGCTCCGCGAGTGTCTACGACGTGAATCTACTTCCACTGCGTCTAATGGTCTGCTGAACCACCATCCTTCAGATTCTGTGCAGTTATCTGACATTGTCATTCAAGCTTCCCTTGATCTCAACGAAAGCCCTAGCTGTCACGGCGGCAAGGGTGGCAACGCATGCGCAGACCACAAGCTCAAAGCACGCAGCATGTATGCCGACAAGCTCGAAGCTATCGGTTGTATATGTCGTACCCTGCTCAGTCTTGGAAAAGAGTCCTGCTGTACCCCTGGCCGTCGCACCTCCAATTTGAGCACTCGCAATGCGTCTAAGAACAAAACCCGCCAGCCCCGACCTACCTCCATTGACTCGTGCTGCGTCGGCTCCGGTCCCCGGGCAGGCGACTGCGCCGTCACGAAGCGCAAAGCCGATCCTGAGGACAAATGCTGTGAGAGTAAAGATGCCTCTGGCACCCGTACAGGCGGTTGTGATGTTACAAAGTGCAAAACCGACTCTCAGAACAAATGTTGTGGTAGCCAAGGTACTGCAGGCAAGTCTCAACTTGCTTCATCACCAGGGTCCTGTACTACTTCTTGCTGTGTTGAGAAACAAGACACCGGCTCTGATCCGAAAGCAGTCCATTTATCTCCTTCGCATTTGGAGAAAGGCCTTGACAGCGACGAACGGGAGCACGTCGTCCTTGGCGTCTCCGGAATGACGTGTACTGGATGTGAAGCGAAGCTCGTTCGAACTCTCAGCACTCATCCTCTGGTTTCAAATCTGAAAACTAGTCTGGTCTTGTCCCGCGCCGAATTCGACGTAAACGGCACTGCTTCTGTGGATGAGGTTATACAGCATCTTGAGCGAACAACTGAGTTCAAGTGTGAAAGAATCATAGACAAAGGCTCAAGTCTTGATGTCATTCCTTCTAGCGACCCTACCGCTTTCATTAACCAAACCTGGCCAGACGGAATCTTGGATATGAGGGTCGTAGACAAGAAGATTGTCAAAGTCACTTTCGACGCCAACGTTATTGGATCCAGGGATTTTATCGAACACGTCTGGGATCATGCCACGGTTCAACTCGCCCCTATGCGCAATGATTTAACGTCTGACAAAAAACACGTCCGTCACGTGGGCTTGATGACCTTACTTTCTGCGTGCCTCACCATTCCTGTTCTGGTCATGGCCTGGGCTCCACTCCCAGAGCATCACATCGCATATGGATCGGCATCTCTTGCCCTAGCGACTTTGGTTCAATTCGTGATTGCCGGTCCTTTCTACCCAGAAGCCCTCAAGTCACTCGTCTTCTCTCGTGTGATAGAAATGGATCTGTTGATTGTCTTGAGCACGAGCGCTGCTTACATCTTCTCTGTCGTCTCGTTCGCATATATGGCCTTGGGCCGGCCCCTCTCAACAGGCGAGTTCTTCGAGACGAGCACTCTTCTGGTCACACTCATTATGGTGGGCCGTTGGTTGAGTGCCCTGGCCCGTCAAAAGGCTGTAGAGTCCATATCTATTCGTTCCCTTCAGATCCCGACGGCACATCTGTTAAGCCAGGATGGTGAAGTTGAGATTGATGCTCGTCTGCTGCAGTATGGAGACAGCTTCAAAGTCTTTCCTGATTCTCGGATTCCAACTGACGGCATAGTCGCCTCTGGTTCGTCTGAGGTTGACGAGTCAATGATCACTGGAGAATCTGAAATGATCGAAAAACACAAGGGCTCTTCAGTCATCGCAGGATCGGTCAATGGTTCTGGCGTTCTACACGTCAGATTGACACGACTCCCTGGTGATAACACAATTAGCAACATCGCCACCATGGTTGACAAAGCGAAATTTTCGAAGCCAAAGATTCAGGCAACCGCCGATCGCGTCGCGAGCTCTTTCGTACCGGGAATCATCCTTATAACGATAATCACCTTTTGCATCTGGATTGCGATTGGTATTAGAGTTCGAGGACAGTCTGGAAGCCAGGCTGCGATTCAAGCAATCACCTACGCTATCACTGTTCTCGTCGTCTCTTGTCCCTGCGCTATCGGGCTTGCAGTTCCGATGGTCATCGTCATTGCTAGTGGTGTTGCTGCCAAGCGAGGTGTGATATTCAAGTCGGCAACGTGCATTGAGTTGGCCTATAAAACTTCGCATGTCATTCTGGACAAGACCGGTACAATTACTGAAGGCAAGATGAATGTCGTTCGAGAATGGTATAGAGACGGCGGTGACCAGGCCGTGATCAAGTCGCAAGTCTTGGGTCTCCTAGGTGATACGAAGCATCCTGTCTCTACTGGTGTGACTCGACACCTCCAAGCACAGGGTGTGGAAGCTTCCGAGGTCGTCGATTCGAATACCCTAATAGGAAAGGGCATCGAAGGCAAAGCAAGAGATAACGGATCGACACTTCGAGCAGGTAATTCACGTTGGCTTGGCCTCGCCTCTGATTCGGTTGTGCAATCGGTCATCGAATCTGGTTGTACAGCTTTTTGCTTCACTGTCGACGGTTCATTGGCCGCGGTCTTTGGCCTCAGAGACTCAATCAGACCTGACGCTCTCGCTACGGTGAGGACTCTACTTGACCGCTGTATTTCAGTTCATATCATCTCGGGTGATGATGACGGTGCTGTGCGCGCCGTTGCAGCCCAAATGGGCGTTGATGAAGCAAATATCCGCTCTCGCTGCACCCCGAAAGATAAGCAAGTGTATATTGAGAACATTCTCAAAGGTCAAATTTCACAGGATTCTACCACGCCTAAGAATAAGAGAGGCAAAAAGCCTGTTGTTTTGTTCTGCGGTGATGGAACTAACGACGCAGTTGCCTTGGCCCAGGCCTCCATTGGTGTTCACATGAATGAAGGCGGCACTGATGTTGCCCAATCAGCCGCTGATGTTGTCCTCATGCGCCCAGATCTTGGAGGTATACTGACCGCCATCGATATCAGCAAGAAGTCAATTCGAAGAATCTTCTTCAACTTCGGCTGGAGTTTTGTCTACAACCTCTTTGCCGTCTTACTGGCTGCTGGTGCGTTTGTCAATGCAAGAATCCCGCCTGAGTTCGCCGGTTTAGGTGAATTAGTCAGTGTTCTGCCTGTAATTGTCGTGGCTATGCTACTGCGTTGGTCGAGATTTTGATCCCTGATGCGGCCACAAGTATGAGCCTGGTAGGATGTGGTCCCAGTTGTTCTGCCCTCCACCAAAGAAGACACCTGCAGGACAGCTTAGATCCATTGAAACAAGATGACAATCTGCAGCTCCGGCGCCACTTGCTTCCAGACGAGGAGCAGCAGTTGACCACAATCATAAGCACAATCACAATAAGGTGTCGGATATTGAAGGTCTGCTCGTTTCTGCAATCAACTTGATTCCAACATGGAATAACGGAATGAGCTGATTTGCAGACACATGCATCACAAAGGCTCCAGAACAGGACAAAGATACCAAATCGATAGCGTTGAGACAGCATGATCATGACTAGAGTGATGGCGGTTGTATGAAAAGAATTGTGAGTGAAAACTGGAAGATGTTACTTTGTGCAGCCCACGGGCGCTTGAGAACTGCATTCGTGCAAGCTATAAAAACTGAAACTCGGGCAGGACACAGGAAGGCGAAATCGGTGATCTAAGCTGCAACAAAGTCTTTCGCGCAGCACAAACCACGCATTACCCAGGTGCTCGCTTACCATGATCGCTTCTAGAAGAGTAGGACATGATCGATTTCAGTGATCGATTTATGTGAGCACAGAAGCAAGATAGGCGAAGAGGCCAATAGTCTTCATTCCGACAGAAAGTCTTGGCCCAACCGCCTCAGCCGTGTCCAAGCATTGGTACGTGCAGATGCTTATGCCCTATATGCCGCGACAGTCTGTAATCACATACTTGAGACTAAGTGTACGGCAAGCACCAGAAATTGGCCCCATCGTCGACCTGGGATCCATACGGGACAAGGAGACGCGTCAAGCATTGACTCTTATACCAAACAACTGAATCGACCAGTTCCATCTATGAAGCTTGGCCATCGCAAAGGCTTGTTGCGCTGCGAGACTATAAGAGCAATCGTTGTTCCGGTACTTCGACAGTTCGTCCCTCATCAGTCGGCCTTACTATTGGCCCTTCCAGACACGACATCTACTCAATGATTAGCCTTCCGATCATTCTCGCGAGCCTTGCGGCTGCACCTGCCGTGATGAGCGCTGCTCTCCGTCCTTCTCATTCAGAAAAAGCCTTGCAGGTCACCACTTCATACGGCACTTTGCAAGGTGCCATCTCCGACCTCGAAAGCAACGTCGTAGCCTACAAGGGTATCCCGTTCGCCGATGCTCCTGTTGGACAGCGCCGCTGGACGGCCCCAACATCTCCCGCTAAGTGGTCCGGTGTTCGTAACGCTACCACTTTTGGGGCGGACTGCGCTCAGTCATACTCATCCCTTGGCCTTTTCTCCTCCGGTAGTGAAGACATATCAGAAGACTGTCTCTTCATGAACATCTGGGCTCCCAAGAATGCTACCCCGAAGTCGAAGCTGCCTGTCTTCTTCTGGATCTACGGCGGACGTTTCGAGGGTGGTGCAGGCAGTGTACCCACCTATGATGGTTCCCACCTGGCTGCCAAAGACATGATTGTTGTTACCTTCAACTACCGTATGGGTCCTTTTGGCTTCCTGGCTCATCCCGAGCTGCAAGCTGAATCCAAGCACAACTCCACTGGCAACTACGGTATCATGGATCAGCAGCGCGCCCTCGATTTCATTCGCAGTGAAGTTGCTGCTTTTGGCGGTGATCCAGACCACATCACGGTTGGTGGGCAATCCGCTGGCTCAGCGAGTGCTCTGATCATGATGTACAGTCCTCTTTCCAGCCACAAGATCGTCGGATGTATTGCTGAAAGTGGTGCTCGTGATCCTCACGATCCTGAAACTTATGGACTCGCCACTAGCCATCGCTGGATGCAGAAAGCCTTGGAGCAGGGTGAAACCTTTCTCTCCGAGATGAATGTAACTTCAATTGCTGAGCTGCGTAATGTTTCTGTTGGAGATCTCCTTTTGTACGACAACAGCATGGACACCATCCTCGACGGCACCGTCTGATGAGAAGACAATGTTACCGCTATTGGTCTTGTGTCCGAGCCTCCACTTTGGCGTCCTGTTGTCGATGGTTATGTTCTTCCCGTCGGCTATGGCGAGTCTCTGCGTACCAACTCACACGGCAACATCCCTATCATGACTGGAGACAACTTGAATGAGACCAGCTCTTCTAACATGAACATCACCACTTACAAGGCAGGCTATGGCGCCATCTTCGGCAACAAGTCGGACGATTTCTTTGATTGCTACCCTGCCGCGACTGAGACGGAAGCCACTCTTCAGAATGCTGCTTTTGGTAACGACGTTAACCGCTACACCACTTGGCACTGGGCCAAAGACTGGCACTCGGGTGGTGCAGCAAATGACGTTTTCACTTACTTCTGGAACCACTCGCCTCCGAACCAGACTTCTGGCGCTTATCACGGCTCGGAGCTTTGGTACACTTTTGGAAACCTTCCTACATACTACAATTACACCTGGACTGCGTATGACTACGAGCTGCAAAAGATCATGGGCAATTACTGGGCCAACTTTATCAAGACTGGTAATCCAAATGGACACGGTCTTGCTGAGTTCCCAGCCAGCAGTGCTAACAAGAACAATACTGTCATGTGGCTTGGTGATGCGGTTGGTGCTGGCCAGATTGTCGACAAAATTGAAAAGCTTCCTGTTCTCCAGGACTTCTTCTCGATGAATGTCGAATGGTAGAGTTCGCCATGGTCGTCCGCTGTTCGCATGATATATGCATAGGGTAGTTGTACGATATTTCTATGCTTCGTGGAAGTGACAGACTACAACCTCAGTCCATATGCATCAACATTTGTGGATAGGCATCTATTATAGGTCAACGTGAGACCATGCCAATCTTCAAACCATACTAGTTGCGAGACACCGATGTTTTTGATTGCATCCATCTAATCGTGGGAAAAGACACCGTGGAGATAACAGTCCATAACAAGGTATTGTTGTCAGCACTTGTTTCTGAATAATTTTTGGGAGACTACGTCCATCAAAGCCTTTTCTGTAAGCCAGACAAATCTTTGAACCCACTGATCAACCGGAAGCAACCTCTTCGGAACATACATAATGTCGCCAAGGATCCAAGAGGCTCGCTTTTGCTTGGCCTACGACATATGTACGAAGAGGATTGTTTCGTTTGCTCCCAGCGCGAACAAGTAGCAAGACCAACCTGAGAACTTATTCCTTACTGTTCGGCATGATAACCAAATATGACTATATCCACGGAATATGAAAACACTTTACCACTTCGAGCTCCCAAGCCAAGATATACCTTGATCGGACCAAAGAGGGGAGTCAGGTACCAAGTTTATCCTTTGATAGAACTTACTCAAAGAGAGTCGGACGACCTTCTAGAGAGACTTCACCAAGACGATTTTGCACCCGATGCTTGCCACGTTGCCAATCATTTTCAGGGAAGAACACTACGAGAAGCCTTTGACCACCACGTACGTGTCAGAGATGGCGACAAGACGATACATCCAGACTTCTTCGTTGCTCTCGAGCAGGAATCATCTGAGAGTGTCCTGGTGGTGTATCTCAAAGCACAGGGTTCAGACGGCGAGTCCGTCGTTGGCGTGAGTCGGTGTGCTATCGACGAGGCAAATCTTATGGGCGCAAATTTGGACGTGGGAAACATCAGTTGGATTGAGTACAAGGAAGCAGAACAGGAAAAGTTTGGCAGCGAGAGTCCGTATACCAACAAGCGATACTTTTCCCGGGATCCCCGAGAGCCAAAGGATACTGATTCTCACACCAGTGTATATGCGTGGTTCAGCATTGTATCCAGACGTGAGTATACCGCATCTCGCAACGACTCAGACATGCATGGCTAAGATTACTAGCGCTTCGCTTCATATCGATACTGGAGCCAGGGTGGGCAAGACTCCCGCAGGATGAGCGTCGGTTCGTTCAACCAGCAAATGTTGAGCGCTTCGACGATCCATGGTCCGAGATCAGGAGCCTGTTTCCACGGATCTGTCAAGTCAATAAGGCAGTGCACAGAATGATCTTGCTCGTGGCAGAAAAAGAGGATGTTGATGCGGATCAGGGCATGTCCATTCATCGTGTCTTGTGGGATGCGGAGAAAGAGCTTAGCAATGTGCCAAACAATAGCGATCAGACCCAGCAACAAGCAGTCAGAGCGATCATGCCTGAGCTGAAGTTTCTGGAGTGGACTCGAACGTCAGAAGCACTGAAGCGCCTGGATGAGCTCGTGAGAAGCATGGCCAAAGACTCGGAGTGAAACAGCAGACAGTCGACACCGACAGGAGTCTAAGATTGTGTGCGATAGCGGGTGTATTTCGCAGCTAGTCTGCACCCTCGTAGCGAAACACGAGGTTGCAAAAAGCCGACAGAACACACAATTGCTATTGGCCAGAGCCTGACCATCCTCCTCCAAGCCACGAAGAAGCGTAACTCAAAGACTCAAGCCATCTTCAGCTGATTCTGCTCCAGCAATCTCTTGGCAAGGATGACCTGTCACAAGGTGTTGATACGGGGTTGGATGGCCGGGAAGTCTTGGAGCTTGTGCAGGCCATGATTCAACGTCGTGGGGGGCCCGAGCCAACATAAGCCAGCAGCGTTGGTGATGTTCGATTTTGTTGCGCTTTCGTACAGGATGAATAGGATACAGATCGTAGTCTGGCATCCAGTAATGTTGAGTGCAAAGTCAGACGGGATCGTAACTTGAAAGGGAACAAAAGATTATCTCGTACAGACTCATGCGTGCAGATTTCTCTAGCTTTATTGTGGTAGTCCTCAGCGCATGGGAGGGTGTAAATGGTAAACAAAGACTGTTCATTCGCTACAATTCATCATCTCATTGAGACCATATTATTTACAGATGTATTGCGCATTTCCACAGCTAAATAATAACAGCCTTCGGCACAGAAGGAGAGTGAACAAATCGTACAAAACTCCATCAGGCTCTCTTGACGTCCTCGACCATGGCTTGTGGTACCCCTTCGTCTGCAAGAGCCTTCAGATCATCCTCACCCATCTCTCCCTGCCATCCCTTTGACACAAGATAGGCTCGGAACTTCTCGTCCTCCTGCGCAAGATCATCTCCCTTGAGGTCTGGCACGAAATAGTACGTCACCAAAATACCGGCAACTCCGCAGATGGCAGCGATGATGAATGTCCACTTCTTTCCAAGATGAGTTTGAATGGGAGTAAAGGCTTGAGTACCGATTGCTGCACCAGTCTTGCCAAGGGCAGCTGAAATGCCGTAACAGGTGCCACGTACTGCGGTAGCGTAACTCTCGCTAGATAGCAAGCCAAGCATGTCGCCGGGTCCCATATTTCCCAAACTCTGCATCAAACCGTAAAAGATGACAAACAGAGGCAGGATCTTGGTGATCTTCTCGTAAGCACAACCGATGATCAATCCAAAGACGAGGTAACCACCGAACCCGAGCATCATTGTGTTCTTGCGTCCAAGGCGGTTGCAGAGATACGCGCCGACCGCTACACCGGGCAACGCAATTGCACCAAGCAACAACTGCCACTCCGCGGTCGATCGAACATTGTTAGGACCTTTCTTGACAACACCGCTCAGAATCGTCGCCGAGAAGACTCCGTTGGGAAATGTGATGAAGTCGTACAGGAACCATGCGCCACAAGTGCCGAGAAGTCGCTTCCAATAATAACGCAGTACCAGGGTGTATGGCACACGCTTCTTGATTGCACCGCGACGAAAGAGTTTCGAGTTGAGCATTTTCATCCGGAAGTAGAAAACGGACAAGGGGAAGAGGCAGCCAATACCCATACACACGCGCCAGACAGTTCCCAGATGGTTTTGGCCAGCCGCAGACAAGACGATGAGGAATATTGACACAGCCAGAGGACCACCAAATGACAGAGGTAAGTTGGTGACGAGGATGAATAATGGACCTCGCTGCTTGAGGTTTTGTTCGTTTGCGGCTTCGCTGGCAGATGTCGAACTTGCAGGATACTCTCCTCCGGTTCCAAAACCGACGATACCGCGGGCCACAATCAGCATCCAAAACATCCCATGGATGGTCGTCCCCGAAGCAGCTGTCGCGAGGATTCCTCCAACTACGATCATCAGCGTGGTGACAATAATCGCAAACTTGCGACCGAGGTAATCGCAGGTAAGTCCAACCACGACTTGACCAATAACTTCACCAACCAGCAGGGCATTTGAGACGGCAGTGCTGTAGTACGACGTGTATTGCTTTGGATATTCCTTTCGCAGCGCGACATTGGTCATTGTCATGAGGTTGTTCTGGTATCCATCGCTGATCAGAGCGGCACCGCTTGCGAAGATGGTAAAGATGTCGCTGGATTTCTGTCGAGCAGTTCTGGTGTCAACTGCGCTTCCCGTCTCTGAGCTAACCTCAGTCGATGTGTGGGGTGGTTGCTGTTTTGGGTTGCTGTCTTGCGAGACAACTTCAGATATTCCTGCGTCTGCCATGGTGAAACAAGCTTCGAGGCGCAAGTGCTTGGAAGGCTTGAAATGCTTGGAACTCCCGACCGCAATCCTCTCTGCTGCGAAACACTGCATTTATATAATGAAAATCTCGAAGACATGCACCTGACCCTTATCCGCCTCACTTCAAGCGTCCTGGGAAACCCATGGCCACTAGAATGCACGCACATAGCACACGTGAAGATTAAAGCGATATTCGACCGCGGAATATCATACGAGACGCGACGTATCTTTTCTCGCCACAAATTGTTGAGAAACAGAGAAACCGAAGGTGCGAAAGCAAAAAAATTCTTCACTCGAAATGTTGAACACGTGCGTGATCATCGCGGTTCTGTTAGGCTTCATGGATCTCCTTGCCCGGTTATCGGCACGGAATCCTTTTGCGCTGATCGACCACGTGCATGATATAGATCCTGAGCTGGGGTCTGGCGAGCATTTCTTCGCGACGCTCAAAAAATCTCATTTCTGCAGCTTGCAGCAGATGGCAATCTTTGAGTGTGAGGTCGCTGGTGTCGAGGCGTTGGCGCTCCTCCTTTTCGGCATGGCATTGTGATCGCGACCGAGATGTCCCGAAACTTCGCTGATTGTGCCACCCTGGTTCTGTGAGCAGATCATACAATCTACAGGTTTGAACACCCTATATGCCTATTAATATGTCCAAACCTCATATAAAGCATCACGTACGGCAATTGCGATGTCCATCGTGAGTTGTAGTCTATTTGGCTCGTCTTGTAGGTCGCAAGAGTACTCTTCGAGTCGCTCAGTGCGGAGAATATTGTAGCCATCAAGGTGGACGAAAGCCCGCAGACCCTGGTGGCACTCATTGACGAATGAGTCCGTGTACCGAAGACTGTCACACGTCTTTCCAATCGTCTGTCAAGCGGTGACATCTAATTGATATCAACTATGGAATGCAGGCTTTTCCAGAGGGATAAGTATCTTTTCATGTTGGGGATTTCCCCGAATCGCACCACCAGCAGCGCAACAAGGATTGTGTATCACAGTAGCTATACTGCGACAGTTTCCCACACATTGGAACGACATTTGTCGTGTGAGCAAAGGTAATTAAACATGCGACAATATGGTGCCATTACCGAATAAACACTACCGCCATGCCCACGTCGCGGCTCTAGCAAAACCAATGACCATTTTTTGCTCAATTCGAGATAAGTCATTGCGCATATGGAGGCCAAAAAACAAAGCGGACACTATATGCAGCGTCGATGTTAATGGCGCTTTCACATCGTCAGAACGACTATCTCGACCCTTCCAGCCAGTTATCGCATGCACCTACACATACGATCAACACTGGAGCGCGACATCTTGAGAAGCCGCCGCAATTCATGCCTCGCGTCTGCGGGGTTGACCGAAAGGCGCAACGCCCTTCAGCAAATTTGACACAGCTCGACTGATCTTTTTTCTCTATTGCGACTCGCTATCGCACCGAACACAAACTGCAGGCAAACACTTCAGGTCGCCACAACCATTTTGCCCACGGAGACAACAAGATATTCCCTCGGGATTGATCCGGCTCAGCGGCACAATGTACCCACATGCAACGCTAAGGCGGGGTTCTCTCAACACAAGGTTCGTCACGAACAGTGAGGAAAGCTTGAAGAAAGCTTGGTATTCTGCAGATCGAGCTTGTTGGATCTTGACGAATCGCGTAAACTGGATGGATCCCGTGTACACTGTCCGAACTTCTGGCCACTGGCCAGAGAATCCTTTCTGAAGCTCTCTGGAAAACATAACCACACTATGTTACGCGTCCACAGACACGGGTCATGTGGCGTGTGGTCGATAGGGCATATATAGATAGCGAACCTTCGACCCTTGTTGCCAGCTTTCTCATTCAATTTCGCTGCATTAGTCCCTTGGCTTTCAGTTGACTACCAGAAACTGCCATGGCGATCAAGGATATTTTCCGTCCCGGTGCTCTGCAACCTGAATTCGAAAAGTCTGATGCTGCCGCGCCCATCGATGAAACGCCCGTCGAGGTTACCACAAAGACTTGGTGGCAGCGACGCGCCCCCGTCATTGCTTGTGGTTCCGGACTCTTCTCCGATGGCTACCTCAATGGAGTAGGTCCAATTTTGTCCTAGCGAAATCATTCATCTGACGCATCTCAAGGTCATTGGATCAGTAAACACCATTCTCAAGAAACTCTACAAGCATGAATACACGCACAGCAATGCTCAGAGCAACATCACCTCGCTGGTATTCGTCGGTGAAGTTGTCGGCATCATCATTTTCGGTTACACCTCTGACCGCTTTTCCCGCAAATGGTCCATCTTTGCATCTACCGTGATTCTGGTGCGCGCCTCACGTATCAAAGTTTAAATCATCACCCGCTGACTTTTGCCAGTTCGTCTTCGCTGCTCTGGCCGCTGGCTCATATGGTGCCAACGGTAGCATCAACGGTATGTTTTCTGCACTTGCTGCGTATCGTTTCCTTCTTGGTATTGGTATCGGTGGTGAATACCCTGCTGGCTCTGTCGGTTGCTCCGAAAGCACTGGCGAGCTGGAATCCGGTACTCGTAACAGGTGGTTCATCTGGTTCACCAACTTGGCAATCGATGTGGGTTTCGTCGTGGCTGCATTTGTTCCCATGATTGTGGTATGTTATCTCGAATCGCTGCCGCGATTTGCCCTCGCTGATGATTTGCACAGGCCCTTGCTACTGGTGACAACCACCTTCGCGCCGCTTGGCGTATCATGCTTGGTATTGGTGTGATTCCTCCTCTCTCCTTGTTCTACATGCGATGGAAGTTGCAAGAACCCGAAGCCTACAAGAGAAACACCATGGCCAAGTGCAAAACCCCATGGAAGCTCATCATCAAGATGTACTGGTTCCGCCTGCTTGTCGTCTCGACCATCTGGTTCATCTATGACTACTCGTCATACGCCTTCGGAACCTATTCTGCTCCAAGTGTCGACAATGTACTCGGTGCTGATGCACCCATGTGGAAGACTTTTGGCTGGAACACTGTCATCAACCTCTTCTACATCCCTGGCGCCTTTATTGGATCATACGTCTCTGATTGGATCGGACCCAGAAAGACTCTTGCCTACGGTGTTACTGCACAGGCTGTGGTCGGATTCATTATGGCTGGCTGCTACGAGAAGCTAGCTATCCCAAAGAACATCGGCGGATTCGTTGTGGTATATGGTATCTTTCTATCTCTTGGTGAACGTGAGTTGATCATTTACCATTCCCATCATTACCACCATGAGAAACATGCTAAATTGATCGCAGTTGGCCCTGGCGACAACATTGGTCTCATCGCATCCAAAACCTCTGCCACCGCCGTCCGCGGCCGCTACTACGCCGTTGCTGCAGCCTTTGGCAAGATTGGTGCTTTTATCGGCAACTACCTCTTCCCCATCCTCGTAGCTGATGCAGGAAGCAACACTATCAAGGGTAATCAATATCCTTTCTGGGTCGCTTCTTCTCTCTGCATTCTGAGTGCTTTCCTTGCATTCTTCTGCTTGCCAGAGATTGGTCAAGACACTATAGACCACGAAGACGCTGCTTTCAAGGGTTATCTCATTGATCACGGCTGGGACATCTCTCGCATGGGTCTTGCTGGCGCTAGCGCCCCCATGGAATCTGACGCCGAAAGTTCGCGATACAACGCCGGGAAGATGGATCAGTAAGAAGGCCCTTCGATTGGACTAAGCGAGTGTACGTGAAGATAACGTACGCTCCTTGAATTTTGGTCGAGGGTATCCCAGCTATAGTAATAAAAAGTTTTTGTTTGGCTTTTGAACCATCTCCGTGTGCTGAAGACTGCCACAACATAGCTATCAAAATGCACGATGCTTTTGTGAAAGAAACTTTCTCCATGGAGATAACTAGGTTTATCGATCTTTTCGTCGTCCCGTGTACTCATGATCATAGCATAGCTGTTGAAACGCACAATACTCTTGTCGAGAGCATTGTCCAGAGACGAGAGGCGGGAGTTGGGATGATGGGACGTTTCTGTTTGCCATCAGTGCAAGATTCTATCATAATATTGCTGCAAAGATGCAAAAATGCTTTTTGTCAGAATACGGTGTCCTTGGAGAGGAGCTGAGTGCTCTGTGGTTGCAGACGGCAGGATGGAACACAATTTCAATTGTTGTATGCAACCAAACTTCTTTAAAACTGCTGGACGTCATTCTTAAGCAGGAGATCACTCCCACTGACACAGCACTTTAACTTCGATCCTAGTCGTACTTGTTGTATAGAAATGGTGTCCAGAACTTTGGCTGGTGTAAACGTGGTCGAAGAAATCATTGAGAACTGCTGTCCCAATTACCTGACCTATGAGGACATCCGTGACAGATTGTTACGTCTTAGATCCCCAGATGTCTTTATTGTCTAGTAACAGTCTAGACGGTAGTCAAGGTGATGGAAATCACTGATGTCGGGTCAATGATGATGACCGGTTACCTGATGACGAGAACACAATTCTTGCTTGTGTAAGATACATCTAGCCTTCTACAGATATAGGCATTACCAATCCCTGCTCATGATGAGTTGGTCTAGTTGAGACCATTCGCATTCATGCCAACAAAAGCTCGGGAGCTAGGTAGACGGCAAAATGTGGGCATCGTTTCCGTCGCCCGGAGCTGTGTGGGCATTGCCTAGCCCTGGAAATCGACATGGGCTGGAGATCAGCAAATCATCGAAGAAGGTTCGAAAAAGTGATCAGATCTTCGTTCCACAAGAGTGTCTGCCTTGGCGATCGACTGCTGGGGTCACGCGACAGTCATGGGGAGATTCACGTGCCGCTCCAAGATGAGGGCAAGGGGCTAAGAAGTTGCTGGCTCAGTCAGCTCGTTCAGCTCAAAGTACGGATCAGTGACAGTAAACCAGAACAAGCACCAAATTCTCAAATTTGGTCGAGCGGAACAGGCTTGGCAAGGAGGAAAGGCCTCCGCCACGGGTGTGACAGCTCTTGGTACCTGATGATCCCTTCCAATCGAGGCACGTCGAAATGTCTTTGCAACACACAGAACCGGTTAGAGCGCAGCTGTCTCTCCCATTCCGGCAGTGTCAAAGAGCCACGCGAGCTTATTTGGCTGTTCAGTCGGCTAGGACCGGGCACAATTCTTTCCGACGGTCTAGACACAGCCCTAAACCAGTTCTTTTGAGCCACATCTGGAACAACTAACGGGGTCAAGACTTTCGTTCATGCACGCTTAGTAAAACCCGATGGACAACCAGTCGGCTCGTGGCTTTTAGAAAACTTGGCGATGCCCGTGTTGCGATGCCTCCCCTTAGGCGAAGCAGCAAGAGGAGCAGAAGTCGACATATAATCCTAGAATCCAGAACGAAAGCTGTGACGCCAAAGGCTCTCAGCCGCACTTGGTAGTGGCTCGACATGGCTTCAGTGGCAGTCGGCCAGTGTCTTGAGCCTCTGGTAAATGCTATAAGAAGCAGTTGATACCAATCCTCAATGACAGGTCCCATACCGCTCTCTGGCACTTCAACTCACAAGCATAGTTGGTTCGGAGCAAGATGCATTCTGCCATCTTGGTCGCTGCTTTTGCGGCTTACACTTGTGCTCAGAACCTCGACCTCGACACTGAAGCCATTGCTAAAGCCGATCCCATCCCTACGCCTGACATCCCTGTTGTCTATTCTACCAGCTTCGACTATGCACTTCCTGCTGCGACTGTCATCGCCGAGACCATTGCCTATGATGCTTCTGCCGCCGCGGCATCGGCTTCTGCCGAGGTCGCAGCAGATGCGGATGAAGCCCAGCCTACTGGAATGATTTCGAAACGAGACGATGCATCTTGCACAGCTCTTCATGCTAAATATGGCGAAAAATTCACTTCACCTTCCGGAAGACTTTACTATATCAGCTGTGGCGCAGACTATGGCGGCTACGACCTCGCAGCAGTATCAGGTTCCTCCTTTGCCAATTGCTATGACAAGTGCGATGGCTACCCTGGATGTGTTAGCTTCTCCTTTGTCGGAGGCTCTGGTGCTGGTACCTGTTACCTGAAGAGAAGAGGCGCTAGCACTGCCATCCCTAACGGCGGCGTCAACGGAGGTGCTCTGGTTAACATGCCTACTCCCACAAATCCTAACATCTGCGTTGCTCAACCTACTGGCATCTCTTACACGTCTACTCCGGACTCTGACACAGCATTCCTTGCTGATAAATACTATTCGGATGCCGCAGCAGCAGCTCAGGCACCTGCAGGATATACTGAAGCTTTCAAGAACCTGAATGCATCAAACAATGCTCTTGGATACCTTGGATTCAGTTTGATGAGCTCTTACAATCCCTCGGTCTGTGCTGCTCGCTGCGATAAAGTCAACGGATGTCAGGCCATCAACATCTACTTCGAGAGAGACCCAACAGGTATGAATGTCAACCATTCGCTGCACAAAACATGCTGATAGTCTTCAGTCGATCCAAACGATGCTTCATGTGCAGACTCTTATGGAAAGTCTTACGTTCAGATTAAATGCGTTTATTGGGGAGGTCCAGTCACCGCAAGCAATGCGTTGAACTTCGGACAATACCGCAACAAGTTCCATGTGGTTATCGCTGGCAGCAACGGCTACGTCAACAAATCGATCGACACACCTACTGGTTACACTGGCCCAACTTACCTTGGAAACTCAGTCATCAGCGCACCTAGCTAATAGGACACTTAGGGGGCCGCCGCCCCCAGGTTGGATTCGGTTAGTGCGGGGCTGACGCTAGACGCATTGGGTAATTATGCATTAGCCCCCACACATGGCCCCCAGCTTGCCAAAATCTGCGGCGACGACACGTCGCGTCTTTACAAACAATTCACGGTACTCTTTTTGCTATTCGCGCCCTGATTGCAGGTGACTACAATAATTCTTTCTGCATATTTGCAGGTCGCACACATTAGGGTTCAGGGTTTTAGGGTACAAAGTGGACAACCCAGCTAAGCACCGCATGGCTTTAATCGTGCGCTGGAACATACGCGACACCGCGCAAACTACAACACACCGTATGCCCGATGCGACAAGCATGCCGAACGACGAGTTAGATTCGTCTCTCACCCCGATGGTCAAGTTCAGAATCACTATTGACAATGCCGACGATTGGCTACAATACGAGTCACAGTACAAAGTACTCGTTTGTAAACATCACTGCTATGCTATATCGAATCTTGCTAGTCATCTACGCACTGAACACAGCGGGACTTCAAAGGAAAAAGCAGCCGTCGTTAGGAAATACTCCCATCTACAGATCTTGAACCCGACACAGACACAGTTGCCGCCGCCGCTAGAGCCGCCGATTCAGTCACTTGGCAGACCGCGAGATGCATTTATTTGTGACGAGGAGGAGTGTAGTTTTATCACTGTCAGCCGGGATGAGATCCGCAAGCACTGCAATAAAAAGCATGGATGGCGGTCGACAAAACAAGATCGAGAGCATTGGCATCATGTCTTTGTACAATCTTTTGTATCGACTAGTGGCCGACAACGGTACTTTACTGTTGACTATGAGGAAGACATCTCTGCAAACGACACAGATGTCTTACATGACAATCAAGGGAACGCTGTCCGAACAAGACAACTGCGCGATTTCGACACTTCTCTGGTCTTAGACGAATGGGATAGAGCAAAAACACAGCACGACAGAGAGCTTGAGGTCATCGACGGGAATATTGCAAAAACAGATCACTCTCTTTGGTCTAAACGTACCGGATACCCGCAGCATCTTGCTGGAAGCAACTACAAACATCTCTCGAACGGAAGTCGTCTTGCCGACAAAGATGAACAAGAACTGCAGCACATTTCAAGACTGATTGACTTGTTAGTTGAGAGATGTGTCGCCGGTCTGTCAACACTTGATCAAGAAACCCGCCGCTAGCTACGAAGTGCAAAAAAGTTCGAGGCTGATGTTAGACCGCTTGCAAGACTGCAAAATCCCGACTCTCAACTTCGGTACGCTAGCTACTGGAAAAGATTCATCTGCTATGGCATGCGCATTGTTCAGGTTCAGAACGCACATGATCGTAGAGAGGATGACCGACAACAAAGGCACGAATCACGCGATTGTAGCAGAGAGGTGTTACAAGATGGTTCAAGCAGCAGCGTCGACGATAGTGACACAGAGAGTGATAGCAATTCCAGCGACGACGACAGCACAGATGGTGACACTTCCGCCGATACCGATATCTACAACGAACAGGAACAAGGAGATGCAACTACTATCGACTACATGGCAGATGCTTGCCGGTTGTTTCCGTGGAAAGACGATCAAAAGGCTCTTGCTAACGAACTATGGAACTTGATGGAGATGCCGCATATCAATGACGATGTGAAAACTGACGCTCTGCTAAAGCTTGTCAAGTCTTTCATCTTTGTCACCGTTCGAGGAGACGTTTTCAGCAGCGGGCTGTTGCATTTTCTGGCTGTACTGAGTATTGATGAGGAGATGGGTCGACTCCGTGAGGCAAACGATTTCTCATACATGCTAGCCGGTGTGGTCTACGACACACGCATTTTTGCAGTCGAGGCGATCTTGCCGTCAACAGAACGGGACCGTCAAGATGAAGAAGACGACAGAAATTTTCTCAGCATACGAGAGCGCTATCTAACCGATGGTGGATACAGTCCGATGAGCAAGATGATAAGTCTTTTGGCTTACGGCAAACTCATCGCTCGGGATCACGGCAATCAAGGCTCAGTCTTATGGGATGATGACAAGAAAGTCGTGTCGCTACACGGCCGCAAGATACCCGTCACCTGGTTTAAGTCATTGGTAACCGGTGGTATAACAGATGCTGAGAAGATCTTGTGGAAAAAGGTCATGTAGAGCAATAACGAAGTGGACAGATTCAGCATACCGCTAAACGATCTAGAAGACGACCCGACTTGGACAAAGCGTGGGGTGTCATTTTTAAACAACAGCAAGAACAGGCTTGAAGACAAGCAAGAAGTAATGCTAAGCCGTGCAAAGAATCACAGGAACGGACGGAAACTACGCAGCCGGACAGGAGACTGGCAGCTTCGACACGTACGACGATGGCTCCGACACGTCGACAAATTCCGGGAGCTACTGCTGCTCTGTGTGCACTAACACTAGATTGATTGATTGATTGATTGATTCAATTGATAAGGCTACTTGGTTCTGCGGCAAACCTATGAGCCGTCTCCTATTGGTTCTTCCTCTTCCATCCCTATGTGCCATTGTTCCATTCTAGCTTCCCCTTACTTAGTCGTCCTCGTCTGCCACGCGAACCTTCCCATCTTGCAAAGGAAGTGAAGCACCGCCTTTACTACGGGTAGATCCGCCTTCCACTTGTCTCTCGGCCCGTCGACTGGCTGACTAGTCCTTGGGTCTTCCCAAGGGTTCCAACCCCCGAGTATGTAAGATAGGTCTCTCTACCTGTGTCCTATGGTATCGATAGCGGTTTAACGGTCTTCCCGTAGGAGAGGGCATTCGTATATAACGTGCTTAATGGTTTCTCGTGCAGCACCACATTCGCAGCCTGCCGAGTCCACTACTTTTATCCGGTATAAGTCGCTCCGCAGTCGGGAGTGTCCCGTTCGGCATTGTGCTAGTACCGACGCTTCCTCCGCCGACAGCGCATTGTACTCCGTTGCTATGTGAGGCCCTGGAAGGGCTCCGTCTAGCTTCCAAGTGTATGCTCCTATATGCAGTGTGTCCTAAGGCCTTAACGTCCTAGATTGCTTCTACGTTTCATCTAGTTTCTTTTGGAGTGTTTTCTTAGACACTCTTAGGGCCATCTTGTTCGTAATCCCTGCGTAGCGTTGCTGGTACGTTCTTGACCTAGCGATGCTACGGTCGCGCTGGGTAGGAGATGTTAGGGGATTGGTGGGTGTTAGGGGGTTAGTAGGTATTAGGGGGTTCGTCGGGCTAGCGCGGTGTAGAGAGTCCTGGCTGGTGCCTCCTAACGCTCCACCCTGCTCCTCCCCTATCACCTTCTTTGCTTGCTTGTCCGCCCATTCGTTCCCCACTACTCCTCTATGTGCTAGTACCCACTATAGGGTTACTGACGCTCCCTCTTGGCTCTAGAGATTAGCGACGTGTCTACGGATGTACCGTACCACATACTGTCCGTGTGGGCTTGCACCTTCCGTGATATGTCGTATGGCCTGCTTACTGTCTGTCGCGATGATTGTTTTTATCGGGCGTAGCCTCCTTCCCGCCTAGTAGGCTAGTGCTACCTTGACAGCAATGAGTTCGGCGACCGTTGGGTTGCTAGCTGCCTAGGCCGGTAACCGCTTCTAGACGATGACCTTCCCGGTATGTCCCTATATTACTGCGATACTACACTCTCTATTCTTCTATGCAGCATTAGTGTAGAATGTGCGTCTCTTCTCCTGCCACCCTTTCCTTTGTAGTTGCCGTATCACCTCCCCTGCCTCCTCTTCCACTCCCTTAACCGAGCACCCTAGAATGCCTTCTATCTAGGGTTCCTAGATGACCGGTTCTACCGTCTCCATCAGGCTGTCGGCCGTAAGGCCTATAGTTGCCCCGAACTTCCTTACTGTAATGGCTAGTGGAGACGGGAAGCTCTTGCCTTGGGTATAGAGTCTGGTTAAGCAATCGAAGAGATGGTTTGTGTGTGGCACCGTAAGACTCCGAACTAGGTGATTTGCGACCTTTCTCTAGAGCCGGGCGATCGTGGTTTCGATGCCTGCCTCGGCTTGTGCTACCGAGAGGGCTGCAGCCTTGAAGGAACGTATTATTGCCTGGCCCCCGATGCGTTGCACCCGGTCCATGTCGCGGAGTAGCGAAACTGTACCCTACTTCTCCGGACTATACTATGCAGATGCGCAGTAATCCATAATCGGTGTAACCGTCGCGTTGTAGAGCTGTCTGACTTGCTTCGGCCTAACTCCACGTAGTCGTTTAATGGCAAGGCACTGCCTCGTGGCCTTGGCCGTCACCTTCGCCACGTGTTGATGGAATTTTATCTTGCTGTCTAAGGTGACCCTAAGCAGCTTGATGTGTTCGCTTGACTCGATGTCCTGGCCCTGAAACTTGAGGTCAGGACCTGTAGGGTAACTGTTTGGCACTATGTGCGCAATGTGAATCTCTAAAGAATCTACGATTGATCGTGACTCGGGAAAAATCTCTGGTGAAGCCGTTATGGCGAGTATATAAGGACCTGTCGCAGTCCTGCTCTAACCTTATAGAGTCGAGTCTCCAGTTCTGTCATCTTCTAGACTGCTATGGGAAAACACAGTTAGAAGTCGGTGCTCCATACTTCTTACCATAGTAAAATGAAAGCAGCAAGTGGCAAGAAATAGGAGCAGAGTCAATATCGCCTGCACCTTACAAGCAAATCTAGCGGTCTTGCTCTCAACACTGATGAAGATGCCGGCGAGACAGAGCTGCATGATATACAGGCCCACGAAGATTTGGTTAATAACATTCGAGAATATCTCACCGTTAGTGCCTGCCGCGTTCTCCTTGAACCGGCGCAAGGCTGGCTTTGTTACCATCAGAAGCGCGAACAATCCTAAGCTGCTGGGCAATAAGGCCAGAGGGGTGATGACTGAATATACTGTAGCTACGAAAGTCAGCTTATAGAACCGAGTTCCGATGGAATTCCTGAGCCTACCGATCACTCCCAGAACCGCGACTGTCGAGTACATTCCTGTTATAGAGAGAAGATCCTGTAAGGCAACCGCGGCAAGATAACGGGGCGTCGAGCTCAAGAAACGGCTCTTAAACGTTCTCTTAAGAAGATAAGCCCATTACGCAATCATGCCTGCGAAAAGTGAAAATCCCTGTAATGTCAAGAAAGAGATAAAATAGTTACCGGCTTTGGGGAGATTCAAGGCCAGCACTCTAGGTATCACAGATGGCTTGTTCAAGACTTCAGACAAAGTGACCATCAAAGTCGACGAGATTGACACTAGCAAGAAAGCTTGTAAGAAGAGAAAGGCCGAGTAGTATCTATAGTACGCTATCTCGGCCTAAGCATGAGTGACATGACAATGCCAAGAGGAAAGATATCGCAGAAGTGACGGAACAAGCGCTACCACCGCAGCGACAAGCAGTTGAGGTACAGCGCCCTAGAGGTCTGCCAACGCGCGAGGAGGTATTCGGTTCACCCAGTAGAGCCATGAGATGTTTCGCGTCAAGTCTTCTATCTGACCTATTGATGCACTAAAAGTCACCGGCAAGGCGAGCACAACGGACAATCCCAAAGAAAAGACTGTCATGATTATGTTGATCACTGTCCTCTAGGCCCTGGGTTTGCGAGCGTTCAACCAATTGATACAGTCTAGAGCTTCAGACACCGGAGAAGTGTGCAGAGGCCAGATTGTTTGCGGCATAACATCACGAACAATAGCCGAGTCTGCTTCGAAGATCTTCAGGATCGCTAGATGAGAAAAATCATATTCGACACACGGCTTGGTAAGGTACTCTTGCATTCTCTAGAAACAGCGCATCGATCTTTGCCTTATCCGGTTCGACATCTCTGGAGGTGGGCTGGCGTTGGCTTAGTGCGTTTACTAGGCGACAGCTTTGTACTGACCTTTATTGTGCTCTTCTCGACATGCTTCTTTCTCTATCTGAGTTAGCGCTCGAAGGTATGGATGTCCGTCGACGAATGCTGTCTAGTTGTGTCTCGTGGTATGTAGTCTGACTTGACACGCATATAGCTTATGGAACATGAACTCCATCAAAGCTTTTTCAAGCCTGTTCGGAATATCAGTAACGAGGTAGAAGCGACTAGCCGTGCCAGAGTCGTGCATGTGTCTAATGTCGACGAAATTTGCAAGCTCGCGACGCGAAAGCAAGCAGAAGAGACCCGTGAACCAGTAAGCCACAGCCAAGTGTGTCCAAAGACGGCCAGTGTTGCCTTCGAGGATGTTCAGGCAACTGAACTTGTCAAGGCCATGGATCGAAGAGTCTGAATGACGATGGACGTAGTTCAACGGCACCAGAAGGGGTACCATGAAGATGGCAGTCAAGCCGAAGATTCTCGTGAGCAGGCGAAGTAGAGCAAAGAGACCTATAGCATCTAAACACGAGCTATCTAAGTCGTAGAAGATGGTGTAGAACGATCTGATATTCCTAGCATCGAAGAACAAGTCAATTCTGTTTGCTCCTGTGATACTTTAACAAATCTCACCACTTCCCGCGATATCTCCTGCGGAGGATGACAAACCCCCCGATCTGTACAGCCGCTACGAAGGCACCAACCTGTATAGAAGCCAGGAAGCCATCGAAAGAACTTCCGTAGTCTTGTTGAGCGGATCCGTTACCAATCGATATGGTGTTGGGATCCATGTGCGTATCACTTGTGTCTCTTGCCTGTGCGCAGTCTAATCGCCTGTACCTAGACCCATGTGATATCTATATGTTCGCACTGCAAAAGATGGATCTTGTAAGTGTGACAAATTCTTTGCTGTAAATCTCACACAACGACCTACCAGTGATTGACTGTCTGACATGACAGCATCTTCCGCTCAGGGTGTCCGCCTGGCTCAGAGAACTCAAGGTTTCACCGAACTCCCAAACATGGTCTTGTCAGAATTATCAAGAATCGTGGTCGCGTGTTGGCATGATTGTGTTTATACCGTCCGTATGTTGAGTTTAAACCAATAGAACTGTGGGAATGCGGAGCGTTGGTCTTGACAGATCCTGCCAAAACAATGCTGAGCGTAGACTAGCTCACGTAAATCAGAGAGCAAAAACCGTAGGGATGATGCACTGAATCAGCATGTGGATCATTAGTTGATCAATGTACAAGAATGCATAGAACATTCATTTTCTTTTCAGGACAGAGCAGAAAGAAACTCAGACTTGGATCGAACTTGAGTAAGACTTGGTCATGGAGTTCACGACATGGGCCCGAGGCATGATGTGGACACCATGAGATTGTGGTATCGAATCCTGACACCATGACTAGCATTCAAATTTTCTCGCATCTCGAAGCCACCTATGGCTTATTGTAGCTACACTCTATATGCTTTGTTTCTCAAGAGCAGCTTATTCTGTCGAAGTACATTCTCTATTATCGTTCTTAGAGACCAAGTAGATCTCATCGGATTCGCGAGCCAGCGGAGGCAGGGGCTTCAGGCTTATGTCCTGATGCTTTGAAGCAGATCCGAGACGAGGCCCTCTGCCTGAAGCATGGGTCCGGAGATTTCGAAGCAGAACGGACAGTGCGGGAAGAGAAGAGGTGATGATCTGATCGTCCATGTCAGCAAGACATCGTTGCTTACCAGCAGATGGTAGATGTTAAGTCTGTACTTGCCCCAACACAATTCTCCACAATACCCCAAAAGATAAGCATGGTTGTATCTCCATCATCGATCATGGTCTCAATCTGACATACCCGCGCCACGGAGCAAATAGGAGTCAACAGTCCAAGAAGGGTTAACGCGATTGGGCGGACACGTTCTGATTTGGTCAACTATAGCTCATAAAGCAGAGGTATTGGCAATAGTATTGCGACAAGGTTAGTCACAAGCATGGCGATGGACGTGCCATAGGATAAAGGCCTTGTAGCAAGACATTTACCGTCAGTCTGCGGTATCCACGCTCTCTTGATTGGCTGGCAGGAGAGCAGGAAAAGCAGAAACGACACAAGATGGGCTAAGACAATTGAAGTTATTCCGAGCGGGAAAATTCGTTGGTGAGTGGAATCAGTCGCACGCTTACAGGGCTCCAAAGCCGCAAAGCCTAGGGCAAGATTGTATGCTGCTTTAGCCCATTACAATGGCGCTACCGCAAGGGCTTGGGAAGCCATAAATCCTGAAGAGAAAAAGATCCTGCGGTGACAGTTCCATATGTAGAGAAGAACCCTTAGTGTTGTGGCTATCTGCTGCTAATCATCCGGTTGCATGGAAGTTTTTGTCGAGGTACAACGTTCACGAGAACGTCAATTGAGAGTTCATCATTAGCGGAAAGCTCTTGGCCAATGGAAAATTCATCGTTAAATGAAACCTGGCGGTATCCAAGATTCAGGTAGCGTATGCGGATGGGTGTCATCAACTGCTCCATCTCGTCTCGCTCCTAGATATGGTTATATCTGCTCAAATCCTCTCTGTCTGTCATCAAAGAGCTGGCCGGCAACGATAAACTTGAGCTACGGGCCCTAAGATGCGGCGACTTTATAGGAACGAGCAAGCTTTACTGTCAAGTCACTTTGACTGTGGGCTGCATTAATCCCTGCACTATAGGTGCATATGGCCAGGTACACGTCTTGTGTGATATGGCGTACGCAGCTGGATCGGCCATCAGACCTCTTCTGGCTGGTATGGTGAAACTCCGTATGGGCTGGGAGGCTGCCACGCTGGTCCTTACTTGTCTCAGTGGAGCAAGTGTTGTACCTATAGCATTATGGGCTGGCGCTCCGAAGCCGTTGGAAGTGAAAGATCACCAGAGTGCTGCCTGATGCTATGAAAAGGTTTGTGCTTTAGAAAGCCAATGATGGCGAGTTGGACATCTTGTTCCTTTCCTTGGACCCATGATTCGAGTGTTAGTCGTGCAACAGAGGTCGATGGAGACGTGACAACCATTGTATGGAATGGAGATGCATAATCACCACAGCCCATCGTTGGACAAAAGACCAATTGACCGTGAAGTTCTCATTCAAAATCATGTCACGTGTAAGAAGTAGAAGTAGAGGATCGTCTGTATGCAGAGTATAGTTGGTATCAACGAGTGAAGACAAAGCAGAAGATCTAGTGACAGTGGCCAGATTCATTCCTATCGTCCTCAACTCAGGCATGCAGAAAGTGCTCGTTGACAAACGTATCTTGCCGTAGGAATTACAACAGATCAAATAGTGTAAAATTGAAAGATTCGATTGAACGTTCTGCGGCATGTAATGAGTGGGTACACCTAAACCCGGGTCGGCGGCATATGCTAGGCGTGGTTCGATATAGTCCGGTCGGTCTCCATCATGATGTATCCTTCCACAAATCTTCCCTCACATATCAGACTCTACATTCCTGGATCCACTTGTCGAAACAATCAATGCTCTTGCGCTGTTCTGCCATAACCCTCTGGTTGCCAGAGATGAACTTGCCACGCTGTGCGGTCGAGTCGCTAGCAGTCGAGAGATTTGCGCTTCGATGTGCTGGATCGTTCACTATCTGGTCTGACCTTTCCAACTTGGCAGAAGCCTGTCTGGCATAGGGTTGCTGTCCGGATGGACTGGTAGACTATTAGCAATGCGAATCACTTCGTGAGTGCGATGGTCCTGGACATACCACATGCCATCTTCATAAATGGTATCGAACATCGCGCAACTATGTTTGGTGAGGAAAAAAAGTGGGGTGGACTCAAATTCTCAGAGTGATCTGGCTCAAAGAACACAGGCATGCTACGTAGCTTTATACCCTAAGGCTGCCTGGTTGATGTTGCTTGATACAGGCTGTAATCGTTCTCCGACTCCCACCAATATCGCTGCTTTCGCCGAATCTTACGATTCACAGTGTGAATTACACACATCCCTCCACCGGTTCTGGTTACAAACCGGTGTAAAGGGACAAAGATGGTCAATTCGGTGCATCTGACCTTATTCTAAACCAATCAATGCATCGATGCTAGTAAACTGCGTGATTTCCCGAATATTGTTCTAAAAAAACCAGCCGGAGGCTCGTCTTTACGTTCCGTTAGGTCGAGGTTCCTCAGAGCCAATACTCAGAGCATTTTGTCGAAATGGTTGCAAATCGACCGTATGTCCGAACCGTGCCATGCTGTCTGGGTAATCTGTCATCAATCAAACAGATGATGTTCGTAAAGGGCAGCGAGGCTGGCTGAAGATTTCTGGCCCATATACAGTTCCATATCTAGAGACACGCCTGACCAGCGGATGACTGAACAACACCACAACCAACGAGACTGATAGGGACTGGATTAGAAGCAACATGCCTTTTTTTGATCTGATTCCTGTTGAAGACGTTTTGGTCGATGACACACAGTGCACATCTCTTATCAGGCATTGCATCCCGGGCATTCCTCCTCGGTATCCTCTGCGCCATATGCTCAACAACTGCAGTTTTGCTAGGTATTCAGGACTGTCAATGGTGGAGACTACCAGTATACCTCTCAACGATGTCCATATTCCATTTTCTTGAATTCTGCGCCACCGCACGCTAGAACTCTTCAAGTATAGATATCGAGAGCTTCCTTCTGTCGACTCATGCCTACATGTTCGCACATCTCTGCGCGCTTTCGGAAATTGTAATCAGCGCTCAATACTTCCCAGACTAGCACGCTCGATTCATCATACCGCACACGATTGTTGGAGGCGCTCTTATGACCATCTTGGGTCAGGTCATACGTACATCTGCTATGATGCAGGCTGGACCTAGCTTCAACCACCAGATTGAGAGTCGAGGTAGAGAAGATCACGAACTGATCACTACTGGTCTATATTCCTGGTCACGTCATCCCAGCTATATTGGCTTGTATCTTCTTTTTGTTGGCACGCAATTCATGGTTGGGAACAAGTTTGCAGCGTTGTTTCTTGCGTATGTTCTTTGGGTTCGATCAAAGAGGCGAATAAAGTGTAAGTTCTACTTGTGTGGAGCTACTAGAATCTTCCTTCCGTCGAAGAAGACTGTTTGGTAAATATCTTTGGACTTGAATATCATGCATACACAAAGCAGGTTTCCGGTTGTCCTTTCGTCTAGTGGCACGCCACTTCTCGATACGTCTCAGCACAAGTCATTTTGGCGTCTCATTTGTCAAATCCACCCTGATCGTCGACGATCTTTCGATCCACAGAGCGATCATAGATCAGTTGGGCGTGTATGTAAGCTCAAGCATACATGATACTAGCGTCACTATGAGCAGCGGCCAGCTTCACAAGGGCTTCCAGCTAACGCGTTAGTAACGGAGGACCCAATCATGTATCGCGGGATTACTTGTCAAGCAAAGTTCTTCCAGACGATGTTGCTGGTGGGGCGGGCAGACAAGATTATAGATGGTCCGAGCGAAGTCTTTGTCGACAGCCTGGTCGATGAACAGTCTCCGAACACTCCCGCATACTCTGAAGCCTGTTTCATAAACTCCGAAAATCTGCCGATCAAGATGATCGTAGCCCGCGAAGCTTTCTTGGTCGTTATGAGTGGCTGTGATCTGGAGGTGTAGATGAAGAGAGTGAAGCTTGGTGAAAGTCGCGAGAACTTCATAGATGGCCGCTTCGAAAGCCTTCGCTCGCAACCTAGGGATTGGACCCTCAAGCCGTGTCAATGAAGTGCGCCCAGTATGTATACCCTTGAGAAAACTGATTGCCGCCTCAGATCAAGCCGGTTTTCGGTAGATGTGAATCTTGCGGTACCAAGACTGGCACCATGCTGCTGGTAAAGCATCGTCATGTCACTGGCCAAGAAATCCAGGTCGATTTTGAGTTCCAAAAGTGGCGGCAATCCTGCAATGAACGATCTGATTGCTTGCCTAACATACGCCTTTGCTCTATGGCAGTTCTATGGCAGTGCTGTGTACCAAAATGACGCTACGCACGGCCGACGACAAAGCTCTTTAGACCAAGACATGAGCTGACTGTATTAGCGGTCTCCATGAGTAACTCGAGCTGAAACCCAATCTATACACGAAGCTATGGTTTTTGTTGAAGTAGAGCATTGAACCAGAGAAGGTCAGGGTGTCATGGGCTGCAAGACACGAATGAATGCGCAGCATGGAAAATGAGATTACGCAAGCTAATGCATCGTGTATTGCGTTGACGGATCAGGAATGCAGCAGAAGAAGTGAGCAAAATGGGAGTCAGCAATAGTGTTTACGCAAGCAGACGGAGGTAAAAGTCAATAGTTGCACTGATTCTGGTTGCGCGCGAGAAGGGTACCAGAATTCTCCCATACCTACATATTCTGGTAGCGTCTACAAAGTGTCGTATCCTCAGCTGGCAGAGAGGAGCAAGTTCGGCAAAATTGATCGAGCCGAGTCTGAATCCGGATCTGCATCGACAGTTGAGGAAGAAGGCGTGTGGGTAGCAGACTATGTTGGCAACGCCGACGTGGGTGTCCGTGCTTCAGCGATTCGCTGGAGATGAGCAAGACAGATACAAGCTTCTGGGTTAGGAGATTAGATCGCGCCTCTCCGGACGTTGAGTCTGAAGAACGACCGAATGGCCACAACCCAGCACGTTGCTGTGAAGACGCTCGTCACTGCTGCTGTCGCTATGGAGGAGGCGAGAGCGAACTAAAAAATCTTTCTTGCAAGAAGTCATGCGAGTCGGAGTGGAGTGTAGAAATCGTTTCGCTCGGGCTCGTGTAGATCTTGTATGGCAGGGCAACCAGCGGACGTAATTAGTTGTTTCCACTAGCAAACAGCACCAGTTTCTATTCAATGTCGACCCAAAACTTGCAGAGACTTTGGACGCTGAGTGGTAGTGGTGAGTGTTATCGGAGGGAGATTTGGACAGAATGGGATATGGGTAGCTGGACAGTGGCTACAGGTGGACAGTGGGCACGGAGCAGAACGATGAAGCGACTGTTTCTTCTGGTATGGCTCTTCCCTAACGAAGTGGCAGCCCGAGCAGCGTTTCATGGATGTGATGGTGGTTGAAAGAGCGAGCAGAGCCGGAAAAATACCAGAACAAGAAGTAAAGTGATGCTCATGTGCTATGAGATCATTCTTTCTTCACATACTCGAAACTAAGAATTGAAAAGGTGCAAACTTCATCGTGAGTTTCTTCGTTCACCACAACGAGACGAGAGAGCTGTGCTGTCTTAGGAGATTTTTCCATTCATGACCAATATCCGGGACAGAAGCGGATAATCAAGAACCTAGAACCAGGCACTAAGATGATGCACCGTTGTTACTTTCACCTACTGCAACTAAAGTCTGGTCGCCCGTGCAATATTCGTGTGAAGACCAATGGCCAGCAACACGAAACTCTGTTTATTCCAGATAGGGTTATAACATGCACAAATTATACAGTACAGTGTACTCAGATCAATTATGGTTTTTACAACAAAACCTCTGGAACAGTGATCCTAGCCACTTCTAGTGTCTGGCTACTAGAGCAAGAAGATTGTACATCAAATGCAGTGCTTACTGGCATCTACCATGCAGCGACTATGTTATCAGCGGAATTGAAAGTATTATAACACACGATGTTGATAGCTTTATCTCTTCTTTGTGTAATCATAAACTAATATTGAGCTTGTGCCAGGCGTATCTGCGCTTCATGTGGAGATTGAGCCTCGTATCTTGGAGCTCAACATGACTCCAACATGACATTTGGATCTACTGTTGTCAAGGACTGACTGTGCACGTACATATCTATATCTCAGGCAGGCGGCTTTGAATCCAATATCACGTCACTGCATCAGGACCAGAATTCGCCACAGAGCTGACGCGAACGATGGGTACACATATATGCTAAGCTGCTGTATATACAAGAAGAAGCAGATCGTACTCAGACTATGTGGGGATCAACGCAATGGATGCTGCCTCAGAAGTCTCTCAATTCGACATGACAGTAGAAAACCTGGACCAAACGACAGCAGAGCAAATGGGCGATCCTTCCAACGGTCTTGGTCAAGATACTAGCGGGTCAAGTGTCCAAAGCTCGAGAAACCGTGCCAGAAGCCCGAGGCGTCCCGGAGTCGACGAAGGAGGTCATGGATCAAATGGGAGTAGAGAAGCCTCGTTTTCGAGTAGTCACCTAGCACATTCCTCGCCTGGAAGACCTCACACAAACATGTTCGAAAAAGCAAGAGCCTGCCTCAGATCCATCGAGAACAACGGCAGTAAGATTCAACGAAAGGTGAGTACTGCGTGAACGCCCCGATCTCATGTCACTAAAAGGAGCTCTACTAATTATGCATGATAAGGCGGAAGTACAAGTAGAAGCTCAACAATCTATCGTCAACGATACTCAGGATCGATCTGTAGAGAGATGTAGCATCGATGACGACCAAGTCACACAACTGAACACCAAAGTAGACAAAATATTGTCATCGGTGAGTCACAGAGGATGGTGTCAGAAATGGTTGTTGGTGACTAATACCTCGCGTCAAAGGCCATCACATCCTGTGACATGAAGAATTTGGAGGACAAAATCTACAACATCATGGAAGATATGATAGACGGCGTGTTAGACGAGATAAAAATCATGCGAGACACGATGCACAGCATGAAGGACACGATCGAGTCAAATGAGCTAGAATCCAACGCTATATTCAAACTTCTGGATCGTCTGACTGCACTCTTTCTAGGCGCAGCAGAGTGCCCTGAAGATAGAATTCCAATCCCGGAAAAACATCTACGATTGACAGCCGAAGCAAGGGATGATGGCTTGTCCGACTTGGGTGGTGAGATAACCTACCATGGTAGTTCGAGAACATCCCCAAGTCCCCCAAAAAGGAGCCAAATCTCGGCTGTTCGACGCCGACTCTCGTTGCGTTGTTGCTTTTGCATCCCAAAGACGCGATACCGGGATGTCTGATGTATCTGACGACTGGCCTGATCTGGTTCTTTCTACTTCCAACTATTTGAGAAGTGCTTAACTTACTCACTCTTGTATCCGGTGCTACTTTCCATCTGTACTTATCGCTAAACATCTCGAATATGCTACTGATCGCATCTCCGTTTTGTGGGGGTTGGAGGGAGATTTGGGATCCGTGAATTCAATTATATTAACAGTAAAAGTTTATATCTTGGGCGATCGTGGTGCAAGAAATACAGTCGTGAGATCTGGTCTCCATCTTATTTCTACCGTCGAATGTACTGCTGTCAAGATAACTGTTAAGTAGAGACTAGACCCTAGCTCCGGAATTTTGTTGGGGTTGTTTTAGGAAGTGCAATTCCTTATTTGAGGAAGCGTATGTGTGCATGAGTGTCCACAGATCTTTTCGTATTAAACAGGTTGTATAATCTTTGGTTGGACCGTCTTGTACCAGGAATAAGATCACATGTATCCCTAAGAGCTTAAGGACGAATATTCCATCTTTGCACTCCAGCACCGTAGAGTCGATGTTTCCTCCTCGACATGGCTGCTTGACATACAAGACATAATCTGCATGATTTAAGTCGTACCGTAGGGCATGTGGCGACGAAATTCTAGCTACAAGAACTAAGGATCGACATCGCATATGATTCTGCCTGCTAAGTTGTCGTGAGTCCACTATGATCTGCCTTATGAACACGTCTCTGCGTGAAGTATTACGTGACTTTCGACTGTCTACAATCGATGCCACGACGCAAGAGAGGTAGTTAAACCTCTTAGTCGGAATGCACGTCCAAGATTCTTTACATAATTAGCATAGAAAGTCGTATAGCACGACCGCATCTTGAGAGGTTGAATACCGTTAGGACTTCCACAATTTGTTAACCATGATCGCGTTATTGTTTGTATATGTGACTTACTAAGCTCTGATAAGTACGTGCTAGGCATTAGGCGATACCAGTGTCTCTTTACGCACTGAGCTTACGTGTGAGCAGATCTTACGTCGGATGTCGAAAGAATAAGTAGATCCTGGCTCTGATGCACAAAGATTGTAGACGCAGACATGTCGGTGAGACTGTTGGATCTTCCATCTGAGCTTCTTGTCGACATAGCGAAACTTTTGCCTCCGATCCAGCGGTCACGGACCTTGCCGTCTCTGTGTAAAGCGATGTATGAGGTGGAGCTCATGTCATGGAGTTGCCAGACTTCGAAGACTTGTACAGTTATAGGTCGTCGGGCGAAAGAGACATGTGTAGAAAGGTTCTCGTCGCTGCAGGAGGCCGTTCGTCAGGCCACCATTCGAAATTCAGACTCGATCATGGTCAGGAACATATACATCAGTAGTGTCTTTAGCATCATGGCTCACACGATCCTTGCAAAAGCTATTGGCCTAGCAGATAGCGAGCACAGGAAAATGCAGCATCTACTGCAAGCGCTGACATTGCTGTCTGACCAGGCAATCGGTGTGATTCCTTCAGAGCGTGGCATCGGCAGCATCATTGCTCGAAAGCGCATCTTGCCTCGCACTGCTCTAGAGTACGGTTGGAGGGACCATCACGAGGTGGATAGACTCAGGATCATGAAGACATTTGTCGAAAAAATAATTGCATGCGATGTCAATCACCCGCCCCACAGACGCTTTGAGTTGAGTATCTATCAAGAGAGATATCCTGAGCTGCCAGGCCGGGTGGACGATGTCAGGGAAGAAGTCCGCCACATCTGAGCTGCTAGGAGCGAGATTCTCGGCATGGGCCGAAGCGAGCCGGGGTGCCGCTTCCTGCTTGATCTTGGGGCAATATTGATAAAAGCAACTAGCTGATTACAATGGTCCGTGCATGCTTCTGCCTCTGCGAGTCCGCAATCCATCGAGCTGCCATCTCAAACAGTGTGACAAAAGTCGCTCCGGGGCGCATCTTTCTAGATCGAAGCGATCCAGGCTGTCGAACTTCTCGAGCTGTACATGCTCGACGTCAGCCATCTGAACAGCTGTTGAACCAATGCTTGTGCTCCGCCGCACTGCATACGGTCGCCGATGCGCGTGTCCATCCACTGTCGCTCACATTGCGCATAGAGCCTCCAACCCCGATCCCCTTGCCCGTCCACTCCTCGAGCACCGTCGGGTCGTTGTGAGCCGTCGCACGAAGCACAGGATCTCTAGCCATGGCACTGTGCCTACCAAACAGTTCCTTGATGGCTGACGGAGCGTGGGTGACGGGACCGTGAAAGAGCGGGAGATACACAATACAACCATGGTGAAGGATCATCGAGTCTCGAGCCGAAAAAATGATGGTCTATACCGTGCTGGCACCTGAAGGGAGCGAAAACGTACGAGTGAGACCACTCTCGACGATACTTCAATGATGGACTTAAATATGCTGCCCATCCTGGTCACATCGAAATTCCTCGCATCGCGATCAAAGCTTACGTGTCGGGCACAAAAAGACATACCGACCTTGATGTCTCTGGCCCGATGGCCAAAGAGCAAGAGCGCTGTCTTTATCAAAGAGCATAACCAAGGTCAAGAAGAGTTGTGTCGAACTACACTGGCTCGCCGCGGTACGCCATGGTATGTCCAGCAAGACCTTACTGATCTGACCTCAGCTCTAGCCTTTGTTCTCCTTGACCGTCCATATCACCTCACACCCGATCCACTAGCAGCAAAGCCCATTGACATGCTGTCGGAATCTTGAGCGCGCAGGATCACTTACCTGCCGCTGTCAGGAGGTGGAGAACAGTTGCAAAAAGACCCAATGGGATGTCGTAGATCACTCTTTCGACCGTCTCCAATCGTCTACAGAATTTCCAATCCATGGTCTGTTCCAATCTCCACAATGGACATTGATAGCAGTCCACAATAGAGGTGAGCCACTCAGTAAGCCTCACTCGCAGTCCAAGGTCTGCCAGCTTCGAATGCACGGTTCCTTGGGTCTGTCCCTCGCATGACTGCAGACGCCTTCCAGGACTCCAGTTGCGCCTCTATACTCTCCTTAGACTTGAGCAATGTGTCTCTGGACGAGTCGCCGTCGTTGCCTGGAACTCGACCAAAAGCATGCATCTTCAACGTGTTGTCCATGTTCTCGGCGATTTGCCTGATGGTGTTGTAGCTGGCGTATTGTTCTTCTCCTCCAAAGCACAATCCATAGCCATCGCAG